ATATACATACACACACACATATATATATATATATATATATATAGATAGAAATTGATATAGATATAGATATATAGGTATATATGTAGCGATGAATGAGTGATGTCGTCTGAGAATCACGTGTCCAACAACTAAGAGCAAGGTATTACCTGCTGCTGATATAACCTGAAGCGAGTATATAAGATACCTATGTTGTTGATGACCTACTTATAGTGAATATATCAGCTGCTTAATCTGTGGGTAACATACTTGTAGTTAACTTGCAGTTAATATACAAGCGGTTTAGTTGGTAACGTGCCTGTAGTTGATATATAGGCTACAACTTTGTTTGTAACTTACTTGTAGTTAATATATAAGCTGCCGGGCTGGCTGCTTCAGGTGCATATATCTTCCGTAATGATTGTACCAGCGACAGTCCGAAGGAGGAGTTCTCCAATTGGCCGGCATAAAATAAATCCGTCGATATGCTTACCCCTGTAGAATGTATAGAATGTAGAAGTGGGATGTAAGCGCTGCCCATTAATCTTCCGCGTTTCACAACCTGTCATGCCAAATCTACTTCGAACAATAAGCACGGACGCAAGACTTCACACAAATATCACACACACACACCACTGAATCTCATGCATCCCGATTTACACACAATAACCATTCCACTACCTGCCTATATTACCCATTATACACACCATCACCAATTTTACTACATACTGATGCTATTCAATTTGCACACAGTATCCATTCCTACACACCTATATTACCCAATACACACACCATCACGCATTCTACTACATACTGATGCGTTTCAATTTACACACAATAACCATTCCACTACCTACCTATATTACCCATTATACACACCATCACCCATTTTACTACATACTGATATTATTCATTTGCACACAGTAGTCATTCCTACACACCTATATTACCCAATACACACACCATCACGCATTCTACTACATACTGATGCGTTTCAATTTGCACACAATTATCATTCCACTACCTACCTATATTACCCATTATACACACCATCACCCATTTTACTACATACAGATGTTATTCATTTGCACACAGTAGTCATTCCTACACACCTATATTACCCAAAACACACACCATCACGCATTCTACTACACACTGATGCGTTTCAATTTACACACTAAAGCCATTACAATACATACCTATACCCTCCAAGCTACAAATCTCATCGACACTGGCGAGGTCGTTGGTGGTGCGCTTCAGATCTGACGCCATCCACCGACTGTGAAACACCACCCCTATTTAAATGGCAGGCGCACCAGAAATTGGACATAAATACGGACTGAGGTCAGGCCAATAGTATGTATGGCTGGTCCTGATTTGTATCGGCAGCAGTGTTGGTATTGGGGCTATCAGTGGTCAATATGTTTGCAAGATCAGCGGTAATCGTTATGAGTATTGAGAATGCATACGAACGGAATACTAGTGGTTGGTATGGGTTGCTGGTGTTACTTGCATACACTCGGCCATATTCGTACTAACAGAATATACGTACTAACAGAATATACGAACAGGGTACTAGTGATGACTGTGGTTACTAGTACTTCCTTATATAGTCAGCAGTACTCATGTAGGGCACGCACACTGGCTTGGGTCCCTTCGAAATCGCAGTTAAAGAGTGATGACACGGCTGATCATAATATCATTATCATTAACAATAACATTAACATTAAATTATATATATATATATATATATAGAAACTGGACAATAAATAGTTATCAAGCATAAAAACCAAATAATCGTAGAGCATCTCGCTCCCAACCCGGTTGATAGATATATGTATAACTTCACCCGCGTGTAGAAATAGATGAACAATCCACAATGCTGCCAGTTCACCCGATGTCTCGAGCACACATGATTGTGGATAGACACCTTGCTAAAAAGAACGCAACTTAATACGGAACCTGAACGCGAAAGCAGTACTAATGCACAGGAGAGGGCACCTGCCCCTGGATACTGACATATACTTGAGATGTCTATCGAGAACCCATCCTCATATTCACAGGCGCAGGAGATTGTCTACATAAAGTGTTTTTTGTGTGCGGAGGGTGTGACAGTAAGGTGCGTGGTCGACTACAGAGCTTCAACATGCATTGGTATCTATTTTGGATTCAGCTAGGTTTGCTGATATTTGAAGAGAAAGCGTACACGCACATACGGAAAAGCACAAAACATGAATATGATCTATTATCAAATAACAATACATGGATAAGTTCTAATATCAAATAACTATACATGGATATGTTCAATGTTGTTCAAAAGCATGAAATAATTAAAATCAAATATAGTTCAATAACTCTATATTTAGTCCTCCCAAGCCGTCAAACGTATCTAGGCAACAATTGCACCCATTCCACGGCCCACATGTAGTACTAATCACTCGCAGCAGCAATCGGTCAGCACCACAGTGCATCGCTCACGAGGTGTGCATTCTGAATGACATAAATACATATAGCGCTGCATGCTCTTGCGAGTGTGTACTTGATATTGAATGATATTGTACGACAAAAATCAGTTATAATATATGACAGAGAAGAGCTTGTACTAAGCATATCCGTAGAGACTTATTCCGATCCCAGCACTAAGGACAAGTTTGGTTCTTTAATTCCTTAGGTAATCTTAGCGACTATATTAAGTACATGTCAGCTAGCTAGCACCGTTTAGATACACGGAACAATTTGCATATCTCAGTCACTATAAGTCTGCCATCACATACACAACTCTATACACACAACTATATATCGGTGCGCAAAAGCAAACCAAAGACGTGAACTGAGCACAAAATCACTGCTTCAGATGTTTCACGCTCGCATCTCGCCGAGGCGGATTCAACCGTTAAATTGGAATAAGTGATAATAGATAAATGAAATCAAAAGATGAGATTCGCTGAATACTCCGAATTGTCACAGAATAACTCGTTGTGGTTTGACAGCTTTCTAAAGATCTAGAGTCGGTAAATTACAAATGAAGATAGTATGTTCTTTTTTTTTGCTGAATTTACTTCATAATACCCACTATAGTAGCACAGTACATCAATCTGCAGAATCACAGATGGAGATACGATTTGCCGGTTTAGTAAACTTCCCCTTACCCACTACGTCAACACAGTACACCATTGCGTGCAACTACACGAAAGCACACCGCACACAGCATGCACAGCCACACCTTCGCCGATGAGCCGCATGCATTCATCGTCATTCTTCACAAACAGCAACCCGCTGCCTCTAAGTTGTAAGAACCGTCTCGCAGCAACACATGCGATGGCGGCACACGGATTATCAGATCCCAGGTACTCTGTTTGGTTAACACTGTATTGTGTTACTTCCGCTGGTCTTTCTTCTGGTACAGTCATACCTGCGGCCCCAGCTGTCCCCCCTATCAATGCCATTATTCTTCCTTTCGAAAGCGTGCGTGCGTGTGTGTCTATAATACTCAGTTATGCTAGTCCGGTATTTTACGCCTTTGTTGTGAGGGTGTGATCCACATGAAGGTGTGCACCGGATGTTAACGAGGTCACATTCGCGAAGTTTAATATACAAGTATTTCAGATATGCTAATATTGCTGGGGAGTATACTTCGTTATTGCATACTGTTATAACTATTACGTGTGTATCGCAAAAGTGAGCGCTTACTTCAGATATGATATTTGTTTACAGTATGTATTTTACTATTTGGAAGGTGTACCGCATATAAATCACAAAAGTAACAAGGTGTCTTATGTATGTATGAAGTATTATTTTATAGTGATATAATGGTATTTATTTTTAGTATGTATTTGGAAGCTCGCAAGAGCACGGATCGCCCCTATTGAATATTGATAAATAAATACCAGAGACTGGAGAGATAACCGGTCATCCGGATAAGTAAATATAATAATAAAGTAGCCGTTGTTCCTATTTTTTTAAACGTCTTTTTTTTTGTACCCATGCAGCAAACGTTGAACGCAAACGAGGAACTGATTATTTAATACGTTTTAACGCAAAATAAATAAATAAGTCGCTCATACGAGTATCCATATGAAATTCCGATGGTACTAATAAAGCAAAAACGTTTTTAAACTGACACAAGAATGAAAAACCATGACCCTTTTGAAGGACTGGGGCGACTGGGGCGCTGGGCTGAGCCTCTGAGGCCCTAATCTAATGAACACGGCTGGGAGTGGGGAGTGGGAAGTGGGGCCCAGCCCTGAGTCCCTGAGTCCTTGGACCTTGAGTCCCTGACTCACCCCAGAGAGAGGTAAACAACTGGAAAGAGTCCCATGCAATATTTGTTTTGTGTCCTTTTTCAGGAATCCCCCTAGGGAGGACTAATAAAGTCTTCAGAAGTTCCGGGCATCAGTCTTCAGGGTTTCAGCCCGTTCAGTCGATCACTATTTACGTTGTCGTCCAGGCCTTCAACCTTTTCGGCTTTTAAGTCTTCACTCCTTCGACCTTCAGCCTTTAAAAAAGCTCAGGCTTCACTCCAGGTCAATTAATGTGTAAATTTTTAAAATTAGACTTTTTGTACCAAAATTTAAAAGAGTAGAGGACAAAATTTCGAAAACAAAACATGGCCTTTTTACTAGTAGAGGGTCATGAACAAAAACCAATATATATTTACTATATTTAAAAAAAAATGGAAGGTCTGTTTGGGCCAGTCCTAAATTCCAGCACGTGGGTGCAGGTTGCTTATGAGAAATCTGTCCACTGCTCGAATCACCATTTACTTTAAATGCCTGTGTGGAGTTGTGGAGCGTGGAGTGTGGACTGTGGACTGTGGAGCACAGCTAATAAAAATACCACGCGGTTATTTAGCCGGTGCCCGGTGACCTTCGAGATTCGAGAACGAGTGAACGACAGAAGATTCCTTTATTTATTTTTTTGCAGCAAAATATTTCTTTGAATATGCCGGCAATGCCGGATCACACGTGTGTGTAATGGGTTCAATAAATATGTACACTTCTGCGAATGCTAACACTTGCGACTGAAATCATATTCATACATACACAATGTCTTTCACTATTAGTCTGCAATTACGGGTCCCTAAATTAAAGTCAACCCGGAACTAAAGCGGCAAGAAGGTGCCCGGCGGCGCGTACAGGGAAGCCGGGAGGCAGAGATCAGCCCAAACTTGCCGCGTAACGCTGTACATTCTGGACAATCGACACTTCTTCAAATAGCCACAATATCCTCTTCAACTACTACAGTACTATTTCAATCTAATTGAGATTTTATTTAGGTTGGTTGGTTCAGTCATTTACGTAGATGCTGCACACTCATACCACAACAATAGCCGCTCAACACTTAGATCAGACAAAGGTCTGCTTAACATCAATAGACAGAATCAGCTCGTTGAAGTGTACGCACAGGGGTGAGCTTAAAGCGTGCGCAAAATGCCTAGAGTAGTTCAATTAAACACAATTTCATCAATTCAAGCTACTTGAAGTATCTTGACCTCGAACTCCAGAAAATGACACAGACACGCAGTTGGAAGACAGCCCCGCAACTCAAGGACCATCTTCGGACCCTGTGTGCAATAAGTACGTCCAATTTGTCAATAACACGGTGATCAAATTGTAGGCATACTATGCACAGTCGACGGACGATATAATTGAACTACGAGCATTGTTCTATAAATTTAGAAAATAAGTACAGGCACGGAAACAAAATTGTTTGATACTAAATATGCATTCATGGTTCATAAATCTGTACAACAATAAACCTATGAAGAGCTGCGATTAAAAAATGCTCGTGATGAGTGGATTTTATTCAGATAGAATACTTGTATGAGAAAGGATGTCACGATCCTGAGATAAACAGGCTACACATCAAGTGCATAGGGTAAATTTTCCAAGCAGTCAGCCAATATGTTTGCAAACGATCTCTTTGAAAGCAGCAATGTGGTCAGAATACAAGTACTTAGGTTTTAGTTGTTTATTTTAGTTTTTATAGTTGTTACAGTTTATCAGAATAATCTGATAAACTTGGTTTTTGCTGACTATTACAGCAAATGACTTATGACTCACTTTTAGAGTCACCAAGGACTCAACATGGGCAACGCAGCACATACAGATAAGTGTTTGAACGTTATATCGATTTTAAGTCAGGTTAATGTTATGTGTGTGGTTGAAACCTGGCAGAACACCACATTTTTTAATCATGTACGCTCGAACACACACTACCATATCATACACCACACTACATTGTATCATACATACTTGCCATTTTTGAAATAAATAATATTATCTCTAATGATACAATTACTAATAAATGAACAACGTCTCCCTCTATACGGAGGGAGAATGTTGAGATAAAGTTATCTAGCGTACACATACTACATTTTTGTAAACTTCGATGGAAATTACTAGGTTTCAAACTATATTAAACTAAAATACAATTTAGTCAGTTAGGATTTAGCAGTGGTAGCTTGTGTAAGAAGGATCGGGACTGCCTCTTGTTAAGAGCCTAAATATCCTCGATCACACATGGCGTACCTCTAGCTGTTCTTTATTGAATAATTTTCACTATAAGTACTAAGTGTTCATGATCACATACCTAATTTGTAGATAGACATAATAACGTAAAT